ATGGCGTGTGGCCACGCTTGTCACGCCACCCCTGCCACCCCCTGCTACTGCCCCACCACCACCACCACATAATAATAGGGAACACCGCGACACCGGGATGCCCTACGTATGGCGTCTTTCTTCCGTCTCCGGCCCGCGAAAGGTTCCTGAGATTCAATTTTCTACACCCTGTAAAACTCACTCGTCGTAATATTTCTAGAACTTTTTGTCGTAAACTTGCAAATTTCAGTTGAATTCATCATGACGTGGGCGTGCGACAAATCGTGGTGTGGTTGTAATCATTTGATACACCTTTATTTTAACTTTCACAAGACACATTCAAAGCAAACGTTATATTTTTTTACGGGAGCTTGTCTGCGCGCGGGGCCAATAGTCGTCGCCGTTTCGGGGAAAAGAGCGGAATGGCTTAACGTCCGCAGTCCAGGCCGCGCCACCTGTCGTCCGGAGCTCAGGGGCGGGTGTTCGACGGGGAGGGGACGTCATCTATCATGCCAGCGTTGACGGCGACGGTGACGTTCCTTTCGAAGAAGAGCTTTTGTCGGGCAGCGATTATGTGGAACGTCTAAAACGATATCGCTTCAATAATTTTCAAATCGTTGTGCATGGGACTCCCCCGGAAATTCCTTACTTTGGCCTGTGGCCTCGCACGAGCACCGCCGCTGCCAGTGGCGGCAGGTTAGTTGACCATCCCATGGGTCAGCTCCGTCAGCTCCCCCGAGAAGCAAACGCTCTCAAAAAATACGACGTCTTCATAATAAGTATCTTGCGATGGCTTGAAAATCACTGCATGCAGCAAGAGATTTACTGGTCGTAAATTCTGCCCGTGAGTAAGAGAGAGACGACGGACTAATAACACCTGATACGGGCTGTGCTGGAGTGGGAGAGGGGGGGGGGGGAGTGAATGTGAGTGTGTGAGTGTATGTGTGTGAGAGTGTATGTGTGTGTGAGTGTGTGTGTGTGTGCTGCTCACTGTGCGCTCGCCACTCCTCGGTGGGGCTCCAAAGTCAACAACCTTCCCTCCAGGGGTGGGCGAGGGGAGGGCAGAGAGCCCACACTCCAACCAAAAGTACAGTTGGTCTTGGAGAGGCAAATCAATAGCATTTGCTTATTCACCCACTCGCGCGTGAGCACCAGGAGGCCCACCACCTTTGCATCCCAGCCCCCC